GTGTGAAGCTGCAGAACGGTACGTCCATCTTAACCATGTGGCGCATGTGGGTTCAAACTTGCTTCGACGGTGTGGGGGACGCGCGGAAAGGTTCGTCGCCGCTGTTGGTCAGAAGTTCTTTCTGCCCCATGTCGATGTGATGCGTGTCAGGCGCATTTTGGAGAAGTGAAAAAGGTTCCTCGAGTTGGTCAACTTCTGAGATCGTTGTCTCCGGGTGCGCCGGTTGACGTGGGCTTAGGTGGGAACCTGGACGCTGAAGTGGCGTACGGCAACCATCCTAGCGCGTTACTGCACAGAGATCGGATCACAGACAAAGTGGTATCGGACGTGATCTTGGGGCGTGCGTTGGTTTTCGATGTTCGGTTTNCACGTTCACCTCTGGCGTGCCCATCCGTACCAGCGTAAATCACGATACATACTTTGATCAAGCACCCGAATGCCTCTTGGGTCATGTATTGAGTGATATTCTGAAACGGGTGCTTTATTTGCGACAAGTACACGGCGTGTCGTTGGAAATTCTCATCTGCCGCATTGATGTGAAACAAGCCTTCCGACAAATGCCGGTGGATCCGTCTCGGGCATCGGTTTTTGGGTACACTATCGGCGATCACGCGGTTGTTGACCTACGGTGTCAATTTGGATGGCGGTCGAGCCCAGGGTTTTGGTCCTTGTTCTCGTCCGCGTTGGAACACTCACACACACACACTACATTTCAAGACGCGTCCGTCTCTCCCGCCGGTGCTGCGGCTGTGCAGCATGTTCAAGTAGTGTCCCCACCAGACGAAAGTACAGCGGTGCCGTTACCTGTTGATTGCCAGACTATTGTGGGCGACGGGGCGTTTGCTGGTTCTCCGTTTTTCGTGCGATACTACGTTGATGATGGCGTGTTGATTGAAGGGAGATTTTTCGCTGATGGCCGCCGATGTTTGCGCGCGGTGCGTTCTCTCGCTACGGATCACTTTCGTCTGCTGGGAGAGAGAGGCCCAGCAGACCCGCCGTTGTTGTCGCAAGGAAAAATCACAGATTTCGCTACTCGTTTGGATGTGTTGGGTTGGACATTGGACACTCAGCAACTCACGATTACTATGACCGACACGAAACAGCAGAAACTGGGACGCATATTGGCTGCGTGGCCCGCGACGCGGAAAGTCGCTACAGCTCGTCAAGTAGCTGAGTTGACAGGGTTTCTTATGCACGTTTCGTTCGTGTTGCGGCCAGGAAAGTTCTTTGTGGGGCGCCTTTTATCCGCGGTCGGGATGCCCGCTTCGTCTACTTTCGCGTCCCAAGTGCCAAACCCGAACAGACGTGTAGTGCTGGGTCCATTATTCCACGATGACCTCGAATTTTGGCGGTGGTTCCACAGGCGTGGTCTCTCGTTGCGCGGCGGAAGTTTGTGTGCACCCATGTACAATATTTTGGAACGCCCGCCTGCACTATCCGTGTTCACCGATGCGTCTAAGCAAGCAATTGGAGGGTATTGTTTGCAAACGGGCCACTACTTTCGATACGATCTGTCTGTGAAAGAGCAAGCTTGCTTTGTGGGGTCGAGCAAATCGGTCCAGGGGGTTCATGATGTCAGCATCAACGTGTTAGAGCTCCTTGGCATGGTCATGGGGGCATGGATGTTGGTATTGGGCCGAAGTCACCAGCCTGTGGAGGCGGGTGATTGTGTGCGCCTTCGAGGAGACAATGAAGCAGCGACGGCGTGGATTGAGCGTTGTCGGGGGGGCCTTGAGCCTCGATCGGGGGCGCTGGTGCGCCTACTGGGGGCGCTGGAGGTAGCCAGCGGGTGGCATTTCCACGCGACCCATGTTCCCGGCATACTCAACTCGCTTGCGGATGGTATCTCCCGTTGGAATACTAACGACGTTCACGATAACCTGTGCTCTGCCTCCCCTCATGTGGCCTGGCAGATCGTGGAGTTAGGCCCGAAGGAGCGCGAGTTGTGCTCCACCGTGCTGGCTTCGAGCTCGTCCGGCACGCACTTGCGCCATCGTCTGAACGAACTTACCTGGGATTTTTTGGAGCGTGGGTGAAGTTTCGAAAGGACGTCGTGGGGAGACCGGCGTTTATGATGCCGTCGTCTCCATCGCCGGATATTGTTTCGCAATTGTTGGAGTACGTGGCATACGCGTTCACGGTGCTGGGCTTGAGGCAGACGACGATAGCTGGTCATTTGTCTGCTGTTAAATTTTTTCATCGTTTGGCGTATGCGATGGAAGTTGATACATGTCATTCTTTGATCAAAAGCCAGCGCTCAAAGGGGTGGCGCGAGGGCATGCGGGTGTTGGTGCGCAGCAACGGGTGCGACGTCCGGTGTCGTGGTCGATGCTGAAGGAAGGGGGGCGTCTGGTGCCACAGTGGGGCACGGGTGGGCGCGTGTTGTTTCTGGCGTTGAGTGCGTCATTTTTTTTCTTGATGCGGGCATGCGAAATGTTCGCTGTGTCCTCGTTGGCCATGGATTCTTGTCATGGGTTGCGTCGGGGGGACGTGGCGTTTTTTTTGGGTTCTCGCCAGTTGCCTCCGGAACGGAGGGGAGAGGCCGACAGAGTCGAGGTGCGGTTTCGGTCGTCCAAAGGCGACCAGTTTCGGAAGGGCGCCGTGTGTCCGCGGGCGAGGCCGGGGCCTCCCCAGTCTGTGGAGTGTGGGGGGGGTGCAGTCGATGTGATGATTGAACTCCTTTCATGCTTCCCTGTTCTCCCTTCGTCTGCTCCGTTAGTCGCGTTCGGAACCGGGGAGGGGCGATGGTCCGTGTGGACTCGTCGTCACGCGACGGAAGCGCTGCGGCAAGTCGTGTCGTTGGCGGGTCTGCCGTCGTCCGAGTACGCGTTGCANGGGGGGGAGAGAGAGTACAGATCAGTATGGAAACCAGTCCGCAGTTAGGTTGGGGGCAGGCATGACTTTGAGAGTATGCCTGATGGTGCGGTGACTGGTTTATACTGATGGTGTTGTGGACGGGGATAGGTTGAGATCCCCGAGTTCCGCTCTTCTCTCTCCCCCCTGTTCAAGCGTGGGGGGGTACAACCAATTAATGCAATTTCGAAAGCAACGACCAAAACGAGCCTTATGGTAGATCTGCTAGCAGCACGGGGGAGTACGTAGACAGGAGCATGCGTATGCCTGAAAAAGGCTACTATGTGCGGGCCCCCTTCCCCGAATTCGGGAGGGCCACTTCTTCCCTTCCTTTCCTCGCTCCCGCGGGTGCCTAATCAGAGAGAGTTAAAGCGTGTCGTCTCCTCCCAAGTACGGACATACCACCAACATCGTGACCTTTGTTGTCGCTCCCACGCTACCGTGGTGATTAATTGGCATATCTTATCGTTCTGTCGATACAGGCCTTTTGCTTTCACCGTTCCCTTTCCGTCGCTCCGGCGACGCTTATTTTGTTCTTTCCTTTCGTGTCCTCATTTCCCCTTTCTTTCGGGTTCTGACCTGTTATGGTATTTGTAGCCTTCGCCTGTTGCGGCTCTCCCGTTGGTTTCCGCTCTGTTAGCCCCAGTTTATTACTTCCTGTACCTTCTTTTATAGGTCAAACGATGGTCTTGAGACCCATCGAGTGAGAGTTGTTAAGGAGTGTGGCTGCTAGCATGAATAGGGTGCATCTTATTCTTGATAGGATGCGGGTCGGTCAAGANCTCTCATTTGGGATTTGACAAGTAATTGTCAAGTTCCGAGATTAAGTATCTGCGTATGAGAACCTCCAGGGTGGGCTAGTGTTGTGGGATTTGAATGTGTAGGAAAGTACAAACGGTAGTGCGGGCTAATGCCCAGAGAAAAGTGCGGGAGATGCAACTCTCCACGGAAGGACAAAACAGGGGACAGGATCTAGTAGCCCCTGCTTTAGCAGCTGATCCTGGCCCCATCCTAGTCAGTCCTCTACCTTCCCTTGGCAACAGCTACTTACTGCTGTTCCACACGAGTTAATAACAAGCGAGTTCGTCTTCACGGGTCTCCCAGATTGCACCGCGCGTGCATATCCTTTATGCCGGTGAGTGAGGCAAAGCTATCTGCTCTCGGAGCACGACGAAAACGGTGTGGAAAAGAGCGCGCTCTTTTTCTTGTTCCTCAGAGGCGAGCAGATCGTCAATCAGTGCCCTATAGATCTCGTTCTCGTTCCGAAGCTGTGCTGAATACGAATGTAGGCTTCCCGGAAACCAAGTTTTGGGGCCCCTGTATCGTGCGGCGCAACTTTGGCCGGTATAAAACGTATAGAGCCTTTTTTTCCCTCCTGGGGACGAAGGGAAAAAATGTCGCTCGCTTCGCTCGCTCCACGGCTCATTATTATAGATATGTACATACATGTGTATGATGATATAGTCTATGCACGGGTTTCAGCAGTACGTGCGATATCACCGATGATCCCCTTGCGACAACAACAATCGATTGAGACCATGCACGTTCATCGTACGGGGGGTGCGATATCAAGCCCGACACGTATCATACGCACGTATGATACTGCGGTGGTAAAATAACCCTTGCAGCATCAGCCGTACTTAGTTTAGGTGTTTTCGACGAACACTCCTCCCGTGCGAAAACTCCGCTACTGCTGTTGCAACTTTTTAGTGCGATACCCAACATGCCAGAACACACGCTGCAGTGTTTCAATAGGGTACGCGATGCCGCCATACGTCCTATGCATACAACGTCGTTCACCAGTAAGTTCCGCGCCGGAATCACTCGGGGCACTCGGTATCGGTGGTACGTACATACCGCACCCCGTAACCATATCACCGATCCCTGTGCAATAATGGAAGCAAACCATTCGTTCTTCTTTTTTTATCGAACGGCGGTGGTGGTGGGTGCGGTATCACCGAACCGTTGCCGCTTGTGTTTTCACCAGTTTCTCCAGATTCCGCACAGAGAACGCAAGGAACGAGCCTCGTTGTTGTTGTTGTTGTTGTTGTTGTTGTTGTTGTTGTTGTCTTCACATTAAAAACCGTTCCGATCTCTCTCTACCCAGTACCTTCGCATGTCCGTACTGATACAACACTCGACGAGGTCGATTCCCGTGGTCGCAGGCTAACTTACCCTACAAAGGTACACTCGTTACATGTCGGGCAAACAAAAACCTCGGTCGATCATAAGATGCAAGACGCGCGGTTAATTTTAGGGTGTGTCCGGTAATTTTGCCGGCATTTCGCAATGAGACATGCAAAGCGTGTTTGTCAGATCAAACACCCCGGTTGCAGATCATGCAAGTAAGTGCTTGATGTGTTTGTTTACCCACCAAGCACTTGCCGCATGAACACTTCGGGCACAAAACGCACGGACGTTTCGCATGATGGCATTTGTTTCATTCTCAGAAGCAACCGCAGCATGCTACCCCCAAAGGCAGCATGAAACTCTGTGCAATAAAAATACCGCTGATATACATACAGAGACAGTAGAAGGAGCCACCAACAACACAGCAGTTGCAACGGCAACCGCCATGAGGTGTAATCCTACACCGTTGTTCGTCGGCAACCAAAAACTCAAGATTTCCATTAGATTCAAAATTTTCCCGCCCACTTGAGCAGGGAAACAAGCAACGCTACTCGTAGGAATGGAACCACCCCGTGTTTTCAAACTTCCTGACCCTCGTTTGTCTGTTCGCCGAGCTTACTGCCGTGCCCCCCGCCTCTCTCTGCTCGCCCGCACCCTCCCCAAGACTGTCTCTCGCCCTCGCCCCCACCCCCTCCTTCTCAACGCCCGCCCCGCCCCCGGTGCCCTTCCTTCGCTGAGCGACCACCTGCGCTGCGTCCAGCAGCAGCACGTCCTCCTCTTCCCTCTCGCTCGTCTTCTGTAGCAAGAGCTTCTGTACATACGCCAGGTCCTGGCATGGTTTACAGCATGTGACGACGAGGGGGAAAGTAGGAAAAAGACCAAAAGGGTGCGTAAGAAAACACGTGGACACGTACATAACATGCTGCTGCCGAAATTCGCGAGAGCTGGGACGAAGAGCGGGCGTTTGTGATCGGATGTCAGCCGAAGATCGGTACGCGGGGGGAACAACACTTTCAGCACTTCTTCTGAGCACAAATATCAACAATCGCAACTCCCGAGATGCATCGAAATAGATACCAAATGTGACTTGGGCGGTTTCGAGAAGAGCAAGCGAGGTGGCTTCTACATCGATCGGCGGGAGTTTGGTTTGTGTGCAATCGAGGCAAATAATGCTAACATACCAAGGCCGCTGGCGAAATCGAACAGCAAGCAAAGCCTTTTATGGGTGGCAGGTCATATACGAAGCGTACGGTATTTTCATCGTTACCACGCATACAAAGATGAAGGAGGACCTTGTGCTCGGGGGGCATTCCGAATCTTTTTTCGGCGTCGGGATACCACCGGCGGCGGCCGTGCGACTCCTTCCACCAGCCAGCCACACCTGTTGGCATGGGCATGCGGACCCTTGGTGAGGCCCCGCACGACCCTCTCTCTCCTTCGCCCCACTCTCGGCCTAATCTCACCGAAGAAAACTTGCCTGCGCGCTAGACAGCGGGCCAAAGCC